CAAACAAACAAACAAACAAAAGACTGAAAGTGTATCACTTACCAGTACATTTTTTACAACATTTTTCATCGATATTATCCTCATAAGAACATAGTTCTGTTCCACACTTGTTTGTAGTGCAGTTGACTTGGCCATTCTGTAAAGTAGAGAAAGGGCATATTGTGGCCCATCTTATTTTACACTGAGTAATATTATACTAGTAAACGATTAACTCAAGATGGAAAGAAGTCAAAGAAATTTGTGTAAAGACAATTGAACTGCCAGGTGTAATACACTCTAATAATAAACATGTTTTTGGTGCACGACAAAACAGTGGCCAAGGTGTGCATTGTCACTTACTGCTAGATTTGATATTTCATCTGTAGAAACATTATGTAAGTTGAAGACTTTTACATGCAACAAGGGTGAAAAGAATAAAATAAAAAACATGGAATATAGAGTTAATGGAATTAACCAGAGAACTAAAAATGTCGTACCTCATGACAATGGCAAGCTAGACAAATTGGTCCTTTGGGATTATCCGCCAGGTGATACCAGTTGTCCCCACGGCTGTACGACTTACCTGAGAAACTACACATCATCTGCTTACGGTTCTTGGCACCTGTAAGCACGTGATATAAATATGACTTTTTATCTTTAACAGCTAAAACTTTCTTTTTGCATTTATGTGTGACACAAGCATAGTTTTATAAAGTGGCATTTTATTGTGGCACTTTGAACTCAATAGCTAATAGAATTCAAAATACAAAGCTATAATAACTCAAACTAGACACTTAATCAAAAAATCATCAGAGGACTAATTTTTAGTGCCAAAGTAATTCAATTGGTCGTCGAAAACAATGTTAGAGCTATTTACACTTATTTCTTCACACACAGAGAATAACATATCATGTGACGCTATTATGGCTGCCATGACGTTAAAAGAGAGAGAATTAGAGTTTATAACACATACAATTTAAGGACAACAAAACTATCGCTTAGAAGAAAGTACCTTAACAACGCGTGTTACGCGTGGTAATAAATGGTCAAGTTTCAAAACATAGCCATAGCTGCTTTGCTCCCACTGACAAAATGACAGTATTTAACAAAATCTCATGCATCTGTTGACTTGTTTAATGAAAGTGTATTGTTATATGCAACACTATTACATTCGTCTATCTCTTACTGACAACCGTTATATATGTGACGTCATAGCAATCATATGATTCTTAGTGTTAAAATGGTGATAAGTATGACACACAGTTACATTACATAACTCTTAGTTATAGGATGTATATACAAGTGACCAAATTACAAACTAACTGACTTTTAATGAGGTAAAGTTTCAACCAGTGTAAAGCAGCTACAACCTTCTGGTTTTAATGGTAGAGTGTCGACCTATGTAACATAGTACTTTTACTACTGTCCCCCGGTGGAACAGTGGTAAGCTTACGGAATTCTAACACTAAAATCAGGGGTTCGATTACTCCCAGTTGATATAGCAGATGGCCCGATGTGGCTTTGTTATTAAACACACACACATATATACAACTATATAGATCTTAGTAACGTAATATATAATTTTAGAAGACATAAGTATAACTAAAACCATATGGTTCTTAATAAAAGAGTGTCATTGCATTTGACACAATACAAACAGTTTGGATATCAGCGGCAGAGTCTCAGTATATTTGACACAATACCAACAGTTTGGATATCAACGGCAGAGTCTCAGTATATTTGACACAATACCAACAGTTTGGATATCAACGGCAGAGTCTCAGTATATTTGACACAATACCAACAGTTTGGATATCAACGGCAGAGTCTCAGTATATTTGACACAATACCAACAGTTTGGATATCAACAGCAGAGTCTCAGTATATTTGACACAATACCAACAGTTTGGATATCAGCGGCAGAGTCTCAGTATATATGACACAGTTCAACTGTAATTTGTAGTGGCATTGTGTTAATATAAGTAACACAGTAACATCCGTATTTTTAGCAACAGAATGTCATCGTGTATGATACATTTACATCCTAGCTCATAGTAGTAGACTATTGATCTATATGACATGATTATAATGATATGTTTCTTACTGATGTATGTAACACGTTAAGAACTGTTGTTCTATTGTTTTAGCGAAAGAGTATCAGCATATTGAATGGGCTATAGCGAATCCGCCTAATAAAGACACTAAGGATGCTTATTTTGATATATTTCGTGCTAAATCTGTATGTGAACGTTGACCTAAAATAATTCCCGCTATTGATTCGAGACCCGAAGAGACAGGTGGAGCTGCTATCGTTAAGTATGTTCCTTCTAAACCACTTCGCATCCCTGAGATTGTGTAACTGCTTTTCTTAATTTGGGGGTTCGCTATGGCCCCTATCCCTTGGCTCTTAGTGACAGAATGTTGATGTGTGTGATGCAATCATAACCATCTGCTGTTCATTTAGTAAGCGTATCAGATAATATGACACAGCTAAATTGATTTAAACGGCAAAATCATAATCAGTTATAGATATTTGTGAAAAAAGCAATAATTTATGCAACTATAATGCTTGGGTTCTAGTTGAAAGTGTTTCAATCTATGAAACATATGCAATAGTGTAGTTCCTATAGGTGTACAAGCTCGATTCTAGTATGACATTGAACAGTCGTCATTCTACACTTCCCAAACGTCTAGTTTTACATAAACCAAAACCAACAACAAACTTTTTTATTTCAGATAATATAAATTATTTTTCTGCTCAGTTTAAGGTATTTTATTTCTATTTTGTAGATTCCAGATGAATCAGCGGTAAAACTGAAGGTTTATAACCCTAAAATTCCTGACCCGATCCTTGCAAACAGCAAAACATAGCCCATTGTGTAGTTTTGTGTATAATAGTAAACAAACTTACTTTACTTCAATTTTTTAATGTGAACTTCATCTCAAAGAAACTTTAGTTTTCAGTATGTAGTCCATAAGGTGTGATACACATTAAAAGGCGATATTGTTTAAAGATTGTACTGGCTATCTGATCGTTAAGACTACTATTTATGCTAAAGTGTCAAAATGTGTCTTTTGGTATATTTGGAAATGTTCAAAATATTTATTTTGTGATTAAAATGCACAAAATATTAAAGGTAACCACTGAACAAATCTACATTTGTCTTATGTACACCCTACGTATTAGCCAGTGAGACTGCAACTTGCATATTCACTTAATTAAACATTATAAATTGCATTATCCAATGAAACTGAAAATGTGGTTGATCTTTAAAAGAACACAAGCCCAGCAACAAACAGATCAGGTTGAAGAAGCTTAGCTCGGTCTGAGGATCTAACAGATGGTGAATACTTTAATATAATAGAAATGGTCAAGTCTCAGTTTGAGGAAAATTCATATAAAATCTCTCATAACGTGTTGAGAGAGAAGGGGAGGACTGTTTATTAAACTGCAAAATGGAATATCCTACGTAATTTTGTCTATAATTCTGGGTTTGGAAAAAAGAGAGCAATAGATATACGACTAGTTCAGCTTTGTTCTTCTGTACCTTATATTGGAACATTTAATCTGATATGTAGACCTGACTCCTTCCGCAGGCAGAATTAGTCAACGATTATGTCATACTAGTATAAGATGATATTTATATGCATGTACAGACAAAAAGTGACAAGTATGCATTCCAGAAGGAAGTCACAGTATGCAGATGCAACTAGTTGCAACAATGATGAGACATCGTGTCAGTCCTTGGTCTATATCTTTCTGATGGGAGAAATGATGTTGAAAACATTTGCACATGGATATAACCACATGACGTGGATGTTGTGGACAGTGGAGTTAAGGATGCTTTCGATCTCCTTCATGAACTGAGTGTGTAAATGAAAAACCAAGAGGTAAATCTTTCTGCAAAATGGGGTCAGAACATCCTACAAAGAAATCCAATATTTCAAAGCTTACTTGAGTAAGAAAACACATTATGCTAGTATAATAATAGGTAGGTAAACAACGATTTATAATAATAAGGAAGAGTTTTATTAGTGGAGAAACATACTACATATTTCGGCAGAACATTGGCCTGTCTTCTACAGACAGACCAATGCCTGACCTGAAGAAGACAGGCCAATGCCTGACTTGAAGAAGACAGACCAATCTTCTGTCGAAACATGTAGCATGTTCCATCATCAATAAAAATCTTCCTTATGTTTATAAATCGTTGTTTTCCTACCTATTATTAATTCAAGGCTTATCACAGATATTCTTGGGTTGTAGGAGCAATAAATGATTGCATAGAATAATAAAATAGTGTAAGCTACTGGATATGTTATTCACCTACCTAAATCTTCATTTTATATAGAATTATGTGAGATTTTTCACTTTCTTTCCAACTTTTATTGGTCTGCTCTCAAACAAAACAAGCCAGCTGGCTACTTCTGCACAGTGCATGTTTGAACTAGTGAACAGTTTAATACACTCCATCAGATTGTAGAGTCCGTAGGCTTAGAGCAGAAGAGTTTAATATAGGAAAAGACTGAAACAGTGATATAGCTTTGAACTTTCCACAGTTATTTACAGTAACTGATAATAGGTGTATGCTAGCGGAAGCAGATGGTATCATTCACACAAGAACATCTATCTGAAGATGGACAGGAAGGCGTGTGGATCAATTGTGAAAAGGTTGATCTTCTCCATGCAAAATATTCCAGCCGACAATATTTTAAATAAAGAGTACTCTCTCTGGTCTCAACATGATTGTCTAACATGGCTTTCTTAAAGTAGCCAAATGCCTCGTCATCTTATTAGTGACCCGTATGAATAGATTAAAGATATTACCACTGTTCCAATTTATTATCTACCGAGATCATAGTAAGTTACCTATACTAGTCTGATACTGCTTGTGTAGTGCTGTGCAAACATAGCGTTAGTAACATAGGACTCAAGCATTAATGGCACCCCCGATTACTGGACAGTAAATAAAGATGAAATATGAAAACTTAGTGTACGAAGTATATGAAACATGATATTCTTTATGGGTAACTAATGGTTATTTTTTTGTGGGTTCTACATTTGTGGGATACACAATACGTCTAAATAATCAAATCAAAGAGTAGGTCCTTGTCCTTTGTAATAAATCATAGCAAAGTGAAACAAGTTTTCTAATTTGAAAATTAAGGTAAATATTTTATGTCTTATTTCTGCTGGAATATTAAATATTATCTCGTGTGTGTAGTTTATTTGAAAAGTAATTCAGATGTTTCATACTTCTCTCTTTTTTACCTTTCAGTTTTATATAATTGGATCACGGACACAATATTCTTATATAATTTCAAAATTTTGTAGCAAAAAAAGAGATTTTGTGACAATTTTTTATTGTTTATAGCATAAACCTGGTCAAAGGTAGTACAAACTTTAATCACTTGGAGGTTAAAGAATGATAAACATTATCAACATTTTTTATGTAGACTATAGTAACGATAACATGATTTGAAAAATATGGGAAAAAAATATTATTCCAGTTTTGAGTTTCAGAAAAAAACTTGAGGTAATCCTGCAGCGTACATGTATACGCAAGTTTGAAATAAACCTCCCACACCTCTCTACATTTACTAGTCGCTAAATGATTTTACCACAGGAGAATCCCAATGAGAAAGAGTTAATGTAAAGTGTTGACAATTTTCCTGGAACGAATGTAAGGACGAATGTTTGGCAAAAGTGGTGAAGCATTTAACAATAATTTTTCATGCGCTCATAAGCTTGTTTATATTTGACGGAATTCATTTTTCCCAAAGGAACAAACGGTGAATGTTTTTCACGTATAAATAAAAATGATGTTTACAAACTTGCAGATTTTTAAAAGAAATAAAAAAGCAAAGACCATCACGCACCTAGTTTGAATAAACGTGCTACGGATATAGAGTGAAGTTGAAACCTTCCAATACTTCTCTACACCTTTCTTCATTAAAAAATAAGTTTTCATGCAGACGATCATTAAATTTGACCTTTTAATCTCCTTACTTCAGTAGCTTGAAACATTATGTTGCAGTAATGTATGAAAGATTTCTCAGTGTTTTGCTTTAAGAACTCGTTCTGAGAAACGAAACCTTTATTGCTTTTGAGATTATAGTGATGTATATGCAGAAACATATAAGCAATAAAAGATGAACCAGGAACAGTCAGGAAAAAATATATGAAAGTATGATGTTTTCCAAACCTAGTCTGTTTTTTTCTGAAAACTCAATTATGTTTGCAAAAATATAACTTCAAATTTCCATTGCCAGTTTTCTTTTCTATTTATTAAAAGCAACATGATTATACGAGCTTCAAAAGTGTAAAATGTTCAATTTTGTTTCTCCAGACTTTAGGAGAGACATTATTCAAAACCAATTTCTAATTACTTCCAATCGTGGGAGTTTTTGAAGTCCATTAAACTTGTAAAGAGTTTAGGAGAGACATTATTCAAAACCAATTTCTAATTACTTCCAATCGTGGGAGTTTTTGAAGTCCATTAAACTTGTAAAG